AAAAAGAAGTTCAAAACTTTGTGAAATTCCACTAATGCTAATTAATGGTGGACGAGGGGATAAAGTTTGTTCAACTAGTGGAACACAAGCATATATCATGTTATTCTTCAGAAAAGCAACAACTGGCCAGAGTTCTCCACCTCCTACTAGGAGTCCATAGACAGATGTTTTATTGATGTGTGAACAGCTATCACGACTTTCTACGAAGTCCTTATCATCATCCAATAATCTAAGTTCAAAAAACAGTGCTTTAAGAAAGGGACCATCTTCAGGAATAGGCACATAACTTGTTCCATTGAAGACTTTGGCTCGTTTTTCAACAGTTGGATACCGTCTGAATTATGGAAACAAAAATATTATAAATGGTTCTTCCAAGGAAAATAAAAGTAGAAAAATCCAAAAAACCCCCAAAACAAAAACAAACCCAAAACACAAGACTAACAATAACAACAAAACACACAATAATACATACACCCACAAAATCCACAACCAAAACAATATATCACACGTTAAATTTCTACTGTAGTAACTAACTGTTGTATACTTGGTATATTATCTCAAATTATAATGTCATTATTTATTACTGAAAATAGATCAATTTAGTTAATTTTTTAAATAGGTAAAGTACATGGTTCTAATTCAAAATTCTAGTTTCTTGGTCACTCAGATTCCTGCTTGGTAGGCCAGGAATGTATACTTGGACACTTTTTAGGCATCTACTAAGGCCTTTTTTTTCTTTTCTGATTCCATCTTAGTAGAGCAGAATCAAAGAAGTGGTTCAATTTAACCTGCCATAATTTTGGATTCACTAGCTGAGATAATACAAATGTAAAAGGAATGTTCTATTCTACTCAGTTAATAGTGAATAACAAATACCCTGAGTCTTCTTGCCAACTCCTTAAAATGTAAGAATGCTTTAGTAATAAAAATGTTTATCTCTATGGCCCTGAAAGATATTATGAGGTAATAGAAATAAAATCTGAGTAAGATGCTTTTACTCATTTACAAAATGTTATGTCACATTTTCTTAGTTTAAAAAAAAGATGTACTTTCCCTATTCCTTTTCTCTCCACTCTAATGTCCAGAACAAAGTCATTTATTAGTATTAACTTCTGTGTAAGTCACCTAACTTCCCTAAGTCTATTTTCTTATTTGTACAATAAAGGGGTATCTAAATATATCAGCAATTCTCATCAAGAAGCAAAAACACACCTGGCCAAAATAATTTTTTTTCATTAATACCCCTAATAAGATATTGATGTTTACTAATAATTTTTAAAAAGAAAAATAGGAATGTATTCAAAGTTATCTCTACATTAGTTATCACTCACATTCTGATGTACTTTTTTGATTGAGAAAGGAGAAGATTTAGCTAGCCCTCCAGTAATGGCTTAGCAGCTGAATGCCATTTCTTTCTCTGGGTCTCTGGATAAGAACAGTTGAGAACTGTGGACTAAACTCCAGCCCAGTGTTTTACCCTTTGGTTATCTAGAGGATAATTAAAGTCCTTCTTAAGTGTAAGAATCTCAATATTGGATGTAAAGATAAGAAGTTAATCTGGGACTGTACACAATACCTTGTATGTGCTCAATAAATATTTTTATTGGATGACTCAACCTATCATTTTAGATTTATTCTAGACCTTTTCTAAAATAGCACTCAAATCTTGGCCCTACAATTATGGGGTACAATAACAAACTAAGCCATACTGAAGCTGATACTATTACTATATCTGGACAGCAAACTTCTAAATCTGAATCTAAACCAAGTTTTGTTTTGGGAAAACGTAATTACATACAGGAACGACCATCTGCTTTTAAAAATCTTAAATGATGGCCATTAACCTTTGGCATATATGTGGGTAATATGCCAGGGTATGTATGCTTAGCCCTTACACCAGGCCCAAGAGCTCAGAAAATGGAAAATAATAAAACTAATTTCTTTAATGATGCAGAATTAATAAGTGACAGATGAATTATTTGAACCCAACTTGCTGCCTCCACAGAGATGCTGAAAAACCCACCCAAACATATCTGAATTTTTCTTCTGAAATATCCTGAGTACAATGAGAAAAAAAAAATCTGAAAGCAACAATGAGTTCTTCAAGGAACTTATTTTTATAAGCAGTAAAAAAAAATCTTATCTCTGTAAGGTATTAAGATAAGTTACAAAGTCACAGATATAAATACAGTATGGTACTGGTCCAAGAATAGGCAAATAAAGTAATAGAACTGAAACAGACCAATATTTATAAGAGAAACATAATCAACTATCAATAGTCCCACAAATCAATGAAAAAAAAAATATATATATATACACCAAAAAAATACATTTAACATACAGTAAAACTGGCCCACACTATAGAGAAAAATATAATGGATTCCTCTATTAACATGACATCTGAAGATGGATTAAAGACCTAAACATGACAGATAAAATGATAAAGTTAAGAGACGATAATGTAAGAAGATGGCTTTGGAAAATAAGGGTAGAGTATGACCTCAACAAAACCCCCAAAGTACTACTCTGACTGTAATAAAATAAGTGGTTTGTTTAATCAAGTGATATATAAAGTTAAAAATGACAAAATGAGAGAAAATATCTGTAGTAGCTAAAAATGACAAAGGCCTAGTATCGAGAATATACGATAAATACACAAGAATACACAATGAATTAATTTTCAGGAGAAAATTAACATGAAAACAAACAGACAAACAGCAACTCTCAAAGATAAAATGGACAAGGATATGTACAAGCAATCCACAGAAAAGGAAATCCAAAGGGCTAAGAATCACTGCTACACAGAGAAATGCAAATGAAAATAAGATATCCTTTATAGCAATATTGACAAGAAGTAGAATAAATGTTAGGAAAGAATGGAGATATAGGAACATTTGCTCACTGCTGATGAGAAGAGTGAGACTGGAGAAAGTATTCTGAAGAGCTAATTATTTCGCAATATTCAGTCAAAATCAGCATAGATAGGCCCTATGAGCCTTTTGAGGATATCTACTGCATCACCATTCTGATGGCTGAGTTGGAGGCAACCTGGGATTATCATCACTAGGGGAAGGGGACAGGCAAAACATAGAGGATGTAAACCATAGAGTACAAAAGAGCAATGGTTTAGATCTGCACTGTCCAAAACAGGAGCCACTAGCCACATGTGACTATTTAAACTTAAAATTAAACAAGACTGAGTTCCTCAGTTATAATAGTTACATTTCAAAAGCACAATAGCTACATGTGGTTAGTGGCACAATATTAAACAGCATAGATTTAGGACATTTCTCATGCCCATCATTGCAGAAAATTCTACTGGACAGCGCTGCTCTGGATGAACACAAAGTAACATGGATGTTTCTTAAAAATAGTGCTGAGAAGTCTGGCAAATATAAGAAAATGAAGTCTATAGCACACTTAATTGTGTAATTTGAAAAATGCACCAACAAACACAAAATAAAGGGATAGCAACAAACATGTAAGAGTTACCTGTGAGGAGGAGGAGAATGGCAGAAATAAAGATACTCAAAGGAATATATAAGTACTTTGGACCAACCAATGAGGCTCCTGAACCATATTAAATATTATTAAACTCCTCACTTAAGGTACAACAACAACAAAGCAAGCCAGGTATCCTGGGAGAAAATGGCAAACTTTAACTCTGATACCCTCAGTAACAAAAAATGTTTAGGTTGTGAAGAGGGAATTTTTCATATCCACATTGCCAACCACTTTCATTTAAAATCACACTCATCTTTATCTGTCTCAATCTCAATGCAGAGCTATGCTACCTCCCTACAGAGCTTTCCTCAGGGAAGAATAAATATGTTGGCAAGAAAGAACTGTCAATAGCCACCAAGAATAAAAGGTGATACAGATTACAGACTGCCACTTACATTTTACCATGAGTTATTGTATAATTCTCACCACAGAGCTATTTTGATAGAATGTGGCATATTCTAAAAGTGGAGCCAGATCAGCCTACACAATCTAAGAAAAAGTGAATACGATTTTATTTTTTGTACTTTTCCAATTTTCTTCAACAATGAGGAACTTTCAAGTAATCCACCTGAAAGTTTCTAAGAATGAAACATAATATGAAAATAACAGTCTTTTACTGCTCAGCGAAGATTTTCCTGAAGAATGAGCTAAAATGTCCTTGAATGATCTTTATTAACGAAAGTAGAAAAATCTGAAACATGTTCAGTGCTCAGTAAGTTTCCTTTCCTTTCCTTTGGTCATCTCCATCTCAATCCCAAGCAGGTGAAGTTAATTTTTATTACAGTAATACTAATATTGAAAAACACATAATAATATGTGCCAAACATCAACACATTTTATTCTCACAATACTATTAAGTAGTGGTGTTAAAACTTCCATTAAACAGATGAAACAGAAGTTAAGTAACTAGCCCAAGGCGGCGGACAAAGACACATCCCCAAACTACAGTACATTATCAATCCCTCCGATCCATCACCCCTGAGAATTCGAACTGCATTTACCTGGAGAATCTGACGGTGCCACAAAGTGGAGTTCCCGGCTCGTGGCTTATGAGCCACACTGCCCGCTGGGCCATGACAAGCCACTAAAGCATCAACTCATCCCTAAGGTCGCCACGGAAAAAGGACGCAGACCGGCTTTCTCAGAGGGGCTCCTACCAGAAGATCCGAGGCTCACCCAACCTGAGCCACCTTCTGTCCCACCACAAACAGGTTGGGCTCAGCAGAGACGCTGGCTCCTTCAGGTGGAGTGACTAAAACCTCTGAGTCCCTCCTGTCAACACATGCCACAAAAGTTCTGTGAATCCTCATCTAGAATGCCGAGAAGCATTCCTCCCCAGGAACCCCAGTACTTTCTTCCTCTAAGGGCCACTTCCGGGACGGTGGCCCGCAAGGATCATGGTTCCTCGCTCGCCCCAGCGACGAGCCTCTCTGCGGTTCACCGGCTGCAGGCTTCCCTCTCCGGCCCCTCCCGACAGCCAACCCCGCGCGCGCAGCTCCACTTCCGGCGTACGAGGCGGTGACAATGGGAGCGGCGCGGGCGGCGCCGGGAGGCAGCTGACAGGCGTCTGCGGCTTCGCTTCATGGCCGCCCTCCCGCCCCGCTTGGGCTCTGTGGGGAGTGGGAGATCCCGCGGCGGCCCGGAGCCAGAGCTGGCGAGCCGAGCGGGGACCTGTGCGCGGCGCCGCTGAGGCGCAGCATGTGAAGAGGAGACGGCTTCCAGTGCGAGGCGAGCCTCTCAGCCGGCCGGGATGGCTACGACGGCCGAGCTCTTCGAGGTGAGTCCCGGCGGCTCTTCGGGGAGTGGCAGGCCCGGGGTGCGGACAGCGAGGTGGGCGGGCGGAGGAGCGGACGCAGCCGGGGGAGGAAAGGTGCGAAAGGCGAGGGGTGGGGTGGCGGCTCCGGTGGCGGCGCGGGCGGAGCGTGAAATGGGGGAGGGGTGGCTTGGGGATGCGGGTGGGGAGGTGAGCAGGGAAGGGAACCTGGAGTCCGAAAGGAGGAGGGTTGGTTTTGTCCGCAGGCTGGAGAGGAGCTTCGGAGGTTTAGGGGTTGGAAGATGTACTCGGGATGAGAAGTGGGAAAGGCTGACTCAGGGCGCGGAGAGGGAGCCAGCAGCCTCAGGTTGGGCGAGCCCCGTCTTGTCGCTTGGATCCTCGAGTAATATTCTAAGGGGACCACCTGAGATGGGGACGACTGGGGGCTTCTTGCGGTTGAGTAATTAAAATTATTCCGTTAGTAAACGTTACAAGTGGCCAGTTTTCCTTTACATTCGAAAAGGCTGAAGTGTTTTTTTAGGACAATAAAAGGCCTACTTAGCCCTTGAGACTGAAGGGGGAGGCGAAACTAGAAATTAACATTCACGTTCGGGTCTCAAGGAATTTAAATGTATTTTAAAACCACGTAAAGGCAAGCTAGAGAATCCTTAGCTCCTGAGACAATGAGCATTCAAACGTGTTTCCTGGAGCATTTTCACTCTCTAAAACTTAAAATTTAATTTAGTGAAATTCAGTGTAAGAAGAAGCTGTGATGTTTGAGATAAATAGAATAGGAAAATTCTAATTGGACCACCAAACAATGAAACCTATGAAGGATCTTTTTTTGTGAAAGAAATGAAAACAGATGTAAAGAAAAAGGAAGCAAAGACCCTTTTTGTGTGTGCTTGTGTTTCAAATTGAATAACAAAAGTGTAAGTAATAATTGAGAAGACTGCAGTTGACATTAGAGAATTTCTCCGCGAGTGAAGATTTGATTCTTTTTCTGCTTAAGAGTCAGCAGTTTTTTTGGCTTAAAATTTGAATGCCACAGTTTTTACAACAATTGGGAACTTTTCATTTGTAACTGTTACTATATTTGGGGTTCCTGTCAGCTCTTGGATAGATAATGCTTTTTGTTGAGAGGAATAACATACACCATTGTTACAATAACTAATAATCAAATAGTAATTTGTGAGTGAAGGATTATAATTACAAGAAAGAATTTGGAAATATTAATTGTATGTTCTCAGATGTAAGTGTTGGGAGGTATATTGCATTAACTTCTCTAATTCCAAAATTGTGCCGTCTCTTTATTGATTGATGCAGGAGCAGGGAGATTGTTGAAAGCTTTTACTGCGTGTTTCTGGGCAAGATACTAAATAGTTCTGTCGTTCCTTGTTTTATCTTTCACATCTTATAAAGGTAGAAAACTTTATGAAGTTGAAATCTTTAATTTGCTAAATGAATACATGACCAGCCAACTATTAATAGAAAACTTACTATTTTCTTACATGGTTCATAAGGCATTAACCTGTGATTTAATGAATCCTGCTTGACATTCCCAGTTGTATCTAAGACCATATTATGTCTCTTTTTCTTTAAATGTTTGACCACATGAGTCCACCTAACTTAATTGAAAATATATTTGATTTCTGCCCCCCTTCCCCCCAGGGTAAAGGGGAGAGAAGGTAGATATATATACATGTATATATATCTATATCTATATATTTATTTTTTTAGAAGTAAATATATATTTGCTTTCTAGGGTCATGCTATTTAGTAAAGTAGTTGAACCAAATTAGGGTTTAGTTTAGCTGAGTGACTTGTTATGTATAGCTAGTAATATTCACTTAACTGATCAGTGATGACAGAGACAGACCAGTCCTGTGGCCAGAGGGTTCATAGGGCAACCTTAAACATGCTTATAGATCTTAATTCATGTGACCTTCTCTTGTTGCTTCATCAAAATTAAAAGCCTGTTACGTTAAAAGTTATAATTAAATGTTAATAGTTACAATTAAGAAATGTATTTATCTTTTCAGCCCCCAGTGGACTCTATTCTTGGATAAGTTTTCATCCCTAAGTGAAAAGTTTGTCTTTGCTTTAGAGTGAGGAGGCAAACAAAAAACAAACCTCAGTCATCACTGCCATTTCCTGTTGCTACTACCATAGGATCTAGATTGTAGGACATATCAGGGAGTGTCTTTTTCTCTTCCCTTTCTTAGTCACAGCTGGAGAACTGTAGGAAACAGAGGTCAGGATGTAGTCAGGATATTTTGTTTTTATACATCCTGGTCTTAATGCACGATTAAGTTGAATTCTGCTTTCATTTCCACATTGAAAAAGAGGTTAAATCAATACAAAATTATGCTTTGAATCCATGAAATTTCATAAGTGTTAACTCTACTTCTTTTAAAATCTTATTGTTGATCCTATGAGATTTCCTTTTATAACATAAACACCCTCATACAACAAAATCAAACTCCAGGATATTTCTTCAGTTGGCAGAAATGCTTTAGTAATAGATGATTCAGTTACTTTAATAGTGTATATCCTCGAAATTGACAAGATACCTTCATAGTTTCAACCCTTGTTGACAAATTTTCTGAAAGATTCTATCTCCAGTGATTCTAAATGATTACCTCAGGATGGATGTTGTAAACAGGCATTCCTACGTGGTTTAGATTAGTTCCCTGCATATAAAAAGTGGCCGGGGTAGTAAATTCCTCTGTTGTCACAAGTATTCCTCTCTTCTCTTACTGCACTACTGAGGACATTGTACTCCTCTCTCACTTGCTGTTTTTCTCTCCTGTCATTGTTGGAGTCTTCTTTTTGGGCAGGCTGCCTTTATGGTAGAGTTCTTTGTTAACCAGGGTCAATTACCCATTCATTCAACAAATATTTGTTGAATACCTATTAAGTTGAAGATAAGGTGCCAAGATTAATGAGGCTGCATGTCTCAAAGGCATGCCATAGAAATAGTAATACTATGAAATGTGCTGCAGAAAACCCAAAATGGTTTAGAGGCCAAGTAAGTTTTGGAAATGGGCATACTTTGTTTTGTTAGAAAGTTACAACATACCTTAGTATATTAAAGGTTCTGAGAAGTTTATTTCCCAAACTAGTTGACCATGAGACTGTTATATTTTCTACTGCTTGTTAATTTTGTGAATTCCAATGTACTTTGGACAATGTTGAGTTAATATAGAACCTGCCCTTATTATTAATGTGGGAAGAGAATAAAGATGTATAACTGTGTACACTTGAAATAAAGTTATAAATGGTGTCAAAGATAAAGTGCTATAGGAGTTGAGAGAATGGGAAGATTACCTCTAGAAGTGGGAAAGGAATAGGAAGGGGTATTTGAATGTTATATTAAGGATCTGTTAGATTTGAGTTTGTGCAACTGGATGGAGGGACTTTCTAATAAAGCAGACAATAAAATCCAAGACATAAAGGGAAGTAAGTGTAGATCCTTGAGGCAAGGGAAGAGTTCCACTTTGGCTGGAGTATAGCATGCATGAAGAAGAGGAATGGCATGTGAGGTAAATTGGAGTTTAATTGTGGAGGTCCTAAATGCCAGGATTAGGAACTTAAGTGTTTTCTTTCCTGTAAATGGAGGTGCCTTGATAATTGTATTTGAGGTCAGGTAATTTGACTATGGTAACAATGGTTGTTTGACCTCCAGATTAGAATTTAAATAGCCAAGAACACATTTTTGCACACAAATACATTTATGTTTCTTGGATTTTCAAACTAAGTTACAAAAGTATTTAAACAGAGTTACTGAAAAAAGATCTCTCGTTCAATTAACTAGCTAAATATATAGTAATGAACATGAGATATATAAATGTGGACCACCCCCTTTACCTTCTATTTGCTGAAATGCTGCTTGTTTTAGCCATATTAGCTGTTAGATAATTGTGTGTGGAACCTGGCTACCAATTAATTAATTATCGTGCATTTGAGAAAATGTGTTCATTCAGCAAACATTTATTGAGTACTAGGGCAGAAGTCATCTTAAGTACTGGAGTTAAAAGACAGTTTAAGTTAAACACCTAGTTGGCGGAGTGAAAGGAAAAAAACTCTTTCTCTCAGCACTACGACTAGTCTCAGTACTTCATTTCTGACACCAGATGTGTGGGGATTTTACCTACAACATTTCAGTTCAGTTTTCCAGCAGACACTGACTGGATGTTCTACAATTCATTTCAATTCTTACGCTGTCTACCTGGAGTTAGCATCAGATCCCACAAGTTGAGGGCTCAGTACCACAAGTATGCCCCCACTTCAGATACTAGTTGCAGTCCAGGTTGTCACCTGTGCTTCTGACAGACTAGCTAAAAATAAGAGTTCTCATGACCCCCTCCTCAGGTTTGATAATTTGCTCGAACAGCTAACAGAACTCAGGAAAACAATTTACCAACTAGATTACTGGTTTATTATACAGGGATATGACTCAGGAACAACCAGATGGAAGAGATGCCTAGGGCAAGGTATGGGGGAAAGAGTGTAGTACTTTCAAGCCCTCCCTGGGTATACCACCCTTCCAGCACCTTGATGTATTCAGCAACCTGGAAGCTCTCTGGACCCCATACTTTAGGGATTTTTATGGAGGCTTCATCACATAGGAATAATCAGTTATTAACTTAGTTAACTCAGGAGTAGAGGGACTTCTAATCATGCTTGATCTTTCTGGTGACCAGCCCCATCCAGGAGCCCTGTTGCCTCAGTAGAATAAAAGACACTTCTGTCACCCAGGAAATTACAAGATTTAGGAGCTCCACATAAGATGTTCCTATCAGGGGTGCCTGGGTGGCTCAGTCATTAAGCGTCTGCCTTCGGCTCAGGTCATAATCCCAGGGTCCTGGGATCGAGCCCCACATTGGGCTCCCTGCTCGGCGGAAAGCCTGCTTCTCCCTCTCCCACTCCCCCTGCCTGTGTTCCCTCTCTCGCTCTGTCTCTCTCTGTCAGATAAATAAATAAAATCTTAAAAAAAAAAAAAAGGATGTTCCTATCAACCA